CAAAAAAATCTGTACATCTATGAATCTTTGAATGCAAGAACCTGTCTACTAAAAATTAATTTATAAATTTTGTAAAGTATCGAATATTTAAGATGCGTAAATTCAAAACTATTAAACAGAAACTTATACAGATTGTAGCAGAGTATTTTAGAAATTTCTTTAAAAATTATCTATAAAAGTTTCTGCGCATGGGCAGACACTAATTCCGAATGCGCATGCGCAAAATTATGACTTCGGATTGAAGAGTCATACTGTATGGGCGGGTTATTTAAAAATAGGAGAGAAAAGGGAACGAAATATAATGTTAAGAAAATAGGCGTCTTCATTTTTATTTATTATTCCCTATTACTGCCAACCGATTATAGATTATAATTAGACCACGGATGTGTTTATTCGATTTATTCAGATGTTGACAGCAATTACGCAGGCATGCGCTCACTGAAAAAAATTGAGAGCGCAAAAGGGGGAAAAAAAAACATCCAGCACAGCATCTTTTCTGAAAAGTTGAGCTTGCTGCATTGAGTGAACCCGCGATCTAATTACAATTTTCTCTAAAGCTTTAGTTTCACCAAACTTTAGGCACGCGATACGCATAGGAATTAATAGATTGTGTTACAATAATTACTATAATTACTATAATAACATCCTTTTTGCGTAGTCCGAAAAATGTCGTATAATAGACAACTTTAAGACATTATAAACGAGACGTCTTTTTAGAAAGTCGTAAAGACACATTTAGAACGTCTTCCTGGAAAATCTTAAAGATGTCTACAAAAGGACGTCTTACAGACATCTTTTAGATGCTTGCATTAATTGGATAATAACATTAGGAAATTTATATCTGAAGATACTTGGTTGATTTAATCTTGATTTAACAAACAGGCGCTTAATGACTATTATAAAGTTGTTAATTATAACTTATGAGATTAATTAGAACTTATGAATAATAATAAGGTTCAAGGAATTATGAAGAAATTATATAAATTTGTGAATGTATAGATTTATGGATCTGTGCATATGTGAATCGATAGATCTGTGAATCTGTAGATCCATGGATCTATTTAGCTTTCAAGCTGTGACGTATACATACATACATCTATACATTTGTAGAAGCAAGAGTCTATGATATTAAATGTGATCAGTGAATCTATGGATTAACAGATTTACGGATTTTAAGATCTATATTTTTATATAACCGATACTTATCTACTGCAATATATATTATTCGCACAATATAATTAACCTAATGGAACTACATAACATACTTGTACATAAAATTTGATACATCATTTTTTTTTTCAGATTTAAGCTTCATTAAGAAATAGTCGTATCGATGAGCCAATGTTCGTTTCTTCATATTTTGATCATTTAGATGCCGGGAATGTATTTTCTTCTGTTAAAATGTTAAACATTACATTGATAAATGTTAAACATTATATTGCGGAAAAAAGAACAACTTTATCAATTTCTTCTTTCCACAGAATACCACAGAACTTAACAACTTATAAGATATAAAAGATAGAGAATAAACTAATATTAAATATTATTATATGATACATAATATAAATAATATACATTTCATGTCGTGCCGCATATAATATAAATTTAATTTAAATTTTTGTGTGCAATATAATGGTTTACGTTAATTGAGACTAAACGCCTATTTGTAGTATATCGACAGTTTGGTTTAAGATCAATGAAGCCTTTCACTTAAGTACGTCCAGAAATCAATAGTTTTAAATTGGAATTAAATATTTACCCTAATAGTATATATAGATTCTGAGAATATTTGAAGAATATCGTAAAAATAAATTACGTATATTCTCTTTTTATTTGAGATATACTGTATTATACAAAAAATGTATTGTATATGTCTAATATTTTCTTTTCCTTAGTACATATTATACAAGGCGAGCTATTTCGATAGCTTCACCTAAATATCTTTTTCCTCAAATAATAAAAAAAACTTAAACAGATAGGGCTATTGCCCTATCCTATTGCGATATCCTTTAAATGTTTTCAGAATCTACATGTGTTGTTAGGATGGATGATCTATGGAGAGCTACCACGATCAGTATTACTATTAATGCATCAACAATTTTAATGATTTAGTTATCGATATATTATATATCATTAATATAACATATTTATATTATATTAGTATACGATCAATGTACATTTTTTCGTCTATCACTATTAAAAATGTAGTAATTACTGATCGCGAGTGCTCTTTGAAAATTGTTCTTTAAGTATAGAGTTTTAAGTCCTTCTTCAGTAATTCTTCAGTAATTTTCGCGAAATCTTATTTATTAAGTACTAAACGCGTATGAGAGTTTTCTTTGTATTATTATAATGTATCTTGTCAATGCCGACCTGATATTGTTGCAATGCCTTTTATAATTAATAATGAAAATATTGTTTTCAAATTATAAATTAAATGTTAATTAACAAAAATCAATAGATCCTTGGACTTACAGATTTATCGTATTTGCAAATTTCTGTATTCGTAAATTTTTTTTTAATTTGAATTCTTAGGTCCACGCACAGATCTTTAGATCTGTAAAATCTTGTTGATTCGTGCTGTTGATTTATAGATTCCTGAGTATATAGATTCTTGCCCTCATATAAGAAGATCCTATCCTCAGATAAGAAGATTCTTGGGCCCATAGAGTCTTAGATGTACAGATCGTTGATATCACATAAATCTTTGAATTCATAAATTCTTTAAGTTCATATATCATGATCTGTATTTCTATATTTCATGCATCTTAACGTATTTTCATTTTCATTCATATCATGCATTTTAATGTATCTTTATATCCTTGTATTCTTAAACGTACATGCACACAAACTCGAATCTACAAAATCTTGGATTTTTCATGTTACAATACCATTTTTAGATGCATATATTCTTGATCACAATTTCCACTTTGTGAATTTCTAAATTCAATAGATTCTTGAATTCATGCATCTTTGAACTAATACATTCCTAAACAGTTTAAACGTCTGTAAAAATTTTATAATCAAATTCAATAAATTTGTAAATTTACAATCGATAAAATTAAAATATTATTAAAATGTTGAATAAAATTGTAAGAAAAATTGTAGATTAAAGACCTTTTTATATTCGTTACAGGTAATTTTTTCTGTTAAAAATTCTTTCACTTTATTAAAAACCTTTAGATTGAGGCTTAGTTTAATAACAAATACAGTGCGATATCACATTACACGTTTCAAACATGTAGATAAATGTCAAAATGTAAAATTTGTTAATTAAAATCTCTGTCAATCCCTTTTATTTTCATTTACATATCAACGTATCTATAAATTAAAATGTAAATTCAAGTTTATAAATCCGAATATTTATGAGCTCAAAAATTAATAGATTCAACAATCTGCGAATCCGAGTGTCTCTGCATGCAAGAATCCATAGATTCCAGTATTTCTGTCACATGAAAAATGCATTATATAGAATCATAGATCATCATACACATTCAACATATTATTGGATGGTAATAACTATCGATCGCCTCTTTAATATCCGTTCCTTTGCTTATACTCTTTCATCATACTTCATAGCAGATTTCAATATAATAACACTTAATTTTAACTCTCAATTGAAAATATCCAGAACAAAGGAATACAAGTAACAATTGTCAACATACAAAACAAACATATGTATTAATAAGACTATCATTCGATAATTTTCATAATCATGTATATAGAATTTCGATCTGTGTTTTAATCTATAATCTGCGCCATGTGTATGTACGACATACGAAGACAACTTTAATAATGTATTGATTATGAAAAATAAAAAAGTTGTCAACTGAGATACTCCAGTATGTTCTGAAGTTCGACATTTCAAAAATTAAAATCTTTAGCAAATTTTTTACATTTAAGATTTGAATTATATCCCCTAACAACACATATAGATTCTGAGAATGTTCGAAGAATGGCAAAAGCAGATTGAATATATTTCCTTTTTTTTCGAGATATACATTATACATAAAAATGTACTATATATGTCCAATTTTTTCTTTTCTTTATTAAGATTCTAATAGTAATTATATCTAAGAAATATATATAGATCTTTATTTATATATTTCTTAGTTATATTAAATATAGATTATACTGAACGTAGATATATTGTTGAGATAATTAAAAGCTTAAACATACGGATAATTTTTCAAATACTTTTTATATATAACATAACATATATTCCATAAATAAGAGGAAAATATATGTAATTTACTTCTGCGACATCATCCAACTATTCTCAGAATTGATGTGCTATTAGAGTCTTATCAATAGCGATAGAAAAATGTTGAACAAAATGTATAACTTGTAACTTTATTCAACATTTTGATAAATGGTAACTTCGATCGTTTTGTCTCCAATTTTCTTTTGAAGCTCTTAACACCATTCAGAGTTTTAAACAATAGAAATTATGTTCAATGTTGTTACTTGATGGCTATTAAGTTCAACAGAACCTAACACGTACTTGTATCCCTTTGTGCTTGCTGTCTTTTATTAAAATTCACCGAGTACCACTTCCCTTACCAATGCCCAAAAATTTCAACATACCGACATGTTAAGATGTATATCGTAACGCGATGGGCAAAACACACTAATATAATACATCTACATGGCTGAACTAAGATCATCGATCATCCGCGGTGCCGTGACAACTCATCGGCCGAGCTCGTCTTCATGAAAAGAAACGTGTGTGACGCAAAGCTCAAGAGATCTAACTAGAACGGTCGGTGGGGGGTTCTTAACTAAGGGAGAACCTCTCTCGCGCGCGAATTAAGAGTTTTGCGAACGATCGACTAGCCGTCGATGGTCGAGATCACTCCCCGTGACACAACCCTGGCAGAAATAAGAGAAGATACCGTCCGGCTTTTGTGCGGGATTGTTCATTTCACCTTTCTTTCTTCCCGTTTGGTTTTGTGCATCTCGATTATAGTTGATTGCTCCATTCGGTTCATTTTACGCTGCTTCTTTCCCATTCATTTCATTTCTCCTTCCTTCTTCGCCTTTTTTTCTCTCTTTCTCGTCTTCCTTTTTCCTGTCTCGCGTCCCTCTCCTTTTCTTGACAACTGACTGATGATAGATGGGTGACGCTGTTACAATCGTTGTAAGTACGACGAAGACGATGAGTTGATGAAAATGATGACAATGAGAAGAAGTAAGGCTAATCCGGAGCGGTATCGTCGGGCAGAGAGAAAACCGGATGGTACAGGGTGTGATCGCGGTCGGCCAACGAGGCAGGTTAAAAAAGAAATTGTCTTCTTTCTGTTCTATTTTCTTGCGGCTTCCTACTTGGACGCGATTAATAGCGGTGGTGATCTGGCGATTGACTGAAGCAGCCGGGCTTAGTCTACCATTAGTTCGAAGTGCACCGAGCCACGTCTTTCAACTCTATCGTGGATGATGTTGTGCGCCCATGCCTTGCACTCGATATTAATGAGCACACCATCTACAACAAAATCGAATTTATAACTTCTGTTTCTCTATGATTTTTCGGATCCGTAGATTTTATTGGCTTAATTTTGGATTTACAATACTTTGAATTTTTAAATGACTAAACGAGTTAATAAATCTTACAAAATCATCTCTAAACAAGATTTGTTTTAATTTTCGTGCATTTAGATTCACATCGTAGATGTCTGAGGATAAAATAGCCATTATACAATAGTTATTTTCTATCTCAAACATATTTTGTTAATATTAAAGATGAGATAGGGCATTTACATACATTTGGGTTTTTCGAAGAACACAGCTACAAGAGGGCTCAGATATCCTTGAGTATTTTTAAATGGGAAGTAATAACCAGGAAAGCCACGACGTGGTATGTATTGAATCGCACCCATATTCTCCACATCGGCAGGATTCTCACCGGCACAAGACACCCAGACAGTGTCCAATCTATTAGATTTTTCTTCTTGCCTGATATGCTCTTTAAGATCCGCCGGCATCAATTCTGGTAAATTTTTGGTGTCATTGTAAAATTTCGGTTCCCATCCAAAAATCTGAAATAAGTTATAAAACGATTTTATTGATTGAATTGGCATCTGTATAAAAGGCAATATCCAATCGCTTTGATTATTTTACATTTCTAAAATTTAATATTTTAAAAGCTACAAAAAGATTTCAAAAATGTAAAGATAAGTCAATTCAAATCGTAATAACTTCGTAT